GAGCGATCAGCTCCGTGTGCAGCTACATCGTGTACCAGTGCAGCCGCCCGGCCCCACTGCACTCCCGGGACCTGCACTCCATGATCGTGGCAGCCTTCCAGTGCCTCTGTGTGTGGCTTACGGAGCACCCTGACATGCTGGATGAGAAGGTAGAGGCTTGGGGGATAGACCTTGAGCACTACAATTGTCATCATAGTTTCATACTATGTTAAGGGGTTGGAATGAACCTCAGAGACCATCCAGCCCCAACCCTTGCCCTGGGCAGAGACACCTCCCACCAGAGCAAGTTGCTCAAGGCTTTCTCAAACCTGACTTTGAACACTGCCAGGGCTGGGGCAGCCACAGCCTCCCTGGGCAACCTGGGACAGTGTCTCACCACCCTCACAGGAAAAAACATCCTACTGATGTTGGGGACACCAGAACTGTGTGCAGCACTCCAGGTGGGGCCTCACAAAAGCAGAGCAGGTGAATTCCCTCCCTCACCTGCAGCCCACACTCCTCTGGATGTGTTGGTTTCTGGCCTGTGAGCTCACACTGCAGCTCATGGGGATTTTGTCACCAACAGTCACCCCAAGTCCTCCTCCCAGGGCTGCTCTCAGCCACTTATCCTCCCAGCCTAGAGGTGTGCCTGGAATTGCCCTGACCCAGGTGTAGGACCTTGCCCAGGGTAACAGCAATCCCAGACACATACCTTTCATGCCCAGCTTGTCTGTTCTTGATACTTTCAAATAATGTGGTTTTCTTAGGAATTTCAGAACTAGTTTCTGTGTAAAATGCTTGTGAATTTTCAGTTCTGCTCTTTATTAACCAAAAATGGTTTTGGCTTTAAAATTATCTATATATTTCTATGAATGTCTTGGTATTCCTTCTTGCTTTGTGAAACTGGCAAAAGAGAGAAGAAAAGAAAGCAGGAAAAAGGAGAATGAAAAGAGAAATATGGAATTGGGTCTATATAGTTACCTGCTGCAGGTAGCTGTGGCTCTTCTCATTTCTCAGCTCTTGCCTGACTAAAGCATCTTCTAGACTTAACAGGGTTACGTCGATGTTAATAATCAGTGTTTGTTTCACTACACAGCCAGTTTTCTAGAAACTGAGCAAGGCATGCTCAGTCCGTGATGGAATTTGCTTGGGAAGCAGGACATGAGCAGGAAATGAAAGAGGCACATTTCCAACTGCCTTCTGCCCTGCTGCTTTAAAAAAACAACATTCAAAAACCTGCCTATTTTCATCGTTGGTCCAGAGCCAACTTGGTGATATTTTGATGTAGTTTGGATGGAGCATTATGTGTCTTTATTTTTTGTTTATGTATTCTATAACACACATGAAAATATGTATGTATTTTTGAATGAGAATTGAAACCCCACAAGCAGGACTTTATTTAAAGATGCCTTCTGCCTGTGCTCTGGAGCCCTGGCATGGCAGGAGGTGAGTAGGACAGGATGGTTTCCCTGGGTGTGGCACAGCATGGGTTTAATCAGTTGCATAATGCTTTATTCCATTTCTTCAGAATCTTTTTTATTTCACTCACCACTCTAGCAGTGCTACATGCTGGGTGTGGTATGTGCTGGACACTGAGTAGCTTATCCCCAAGTCATCTTTCCCTGCATTTGCAAGTATTAGAACTGCAGCTTTCCAAGTGCCTCCCCTGAGATTTGCTTTGACTGTTTACCTGCTGCCGGTGCTGTACCTCCTGCTGCAATTCCTCCTGGCCACTCTTTGCAGCTCAGTGCTGCACTGTTTTGCTCTGTCAGAGCATTTGATTTTCCTCTTCACCTCTTACTCTGTATCAATGATGTATCAAGGAAGGATGCAGGCCAAGGCTGGAGCTCTGGTCTCTGGTGGAACAAACTGACCCCTTGCACTGTTACTCTGCAGCTCAGCCCGTGAGACCTGAACCTTTGTTGTAGCAATCCAGAGATTTTCAGCAGATGATTTTTGTTGTGCACAGCACTTGAGTCGCACCTGTGGTTCTACTGAGTGTTGGCCTTTCCTGTAACAGATTTGTTGAAGCTTTTGCTGTGTACTTTTAGAATTGTTCTCTTGCTGAATTAGATACTGTGATACATTTTACTTGTGAAAGCTGTTGGCAATTGAAAGATTTGGAAAAGGATTTTTTGCAGTTTTCCAGGTGAATTAATTCTTAATATGCTTAGAACTAAATTCAAAGTTCTCTGCAGAGATTCCCAGAATTGCATTTATTGTTCCTTTTAAATCTATTTACATTTTTCAGTTGCATTCATAATAGTCCTCTTGGCAATTTGGTACATATGTAATGGAATATGTTGTGTGTATTTATTAATTCAAAGCACTTTCTACCATTAGAATACTAACATAAGTAGACATCTGTAGATGGAGAAAATACCAGTCCTATAGCAAATATGATCTTATTCTAGCAGTGTTAGAATAATCATCTGCCTTTATTTCTGAGCTCATATTACCAGCAGTACTCTGTTTTGCTCAACAGTATATCACTGTTTCCCTGAGGTCCTGGAGATGTTTATCCGAGTACTTCTGCGTTAAGGTGGTTCCTCTTGTGTTTTAGGATTGCTTAAAGGAGGTGTTAGAGATTGTGGAGCTTGGCATTTCCGGAAGTAAATCCAAAAACAGCGAGCAGGAGGTCAAGTACAAAGGGGATAAGGAGCCAAACCCTGCGTCCATGAGAGTGAAGGATGCTGCTGAAGCTACACTAACGTGGTATGTCATTTGTCAGAGCACCTTTGCTGTTCAGTGCTGCCTTGTCTGAGAGGGTTTAATTGGGAGTTCTCAGCTGCTGATATCTGATGTAGCAAGAGCATTTGATAGGTTAGCCAGAAGCTCCCTCTCTTTGCCGTTTGTGCAGGGCTCTGCTGTGCTTTGCCTTAGATCTCTCCCCCATCCCATGACAGGTGTTAACAGAAAACAGATCCCTGTGATCACTGTTCTCCCCTCCTGCCTGCTCTCCTCCTTGGACAGCAAAGCCCAGACCCTCCTGCAGTCCTGAGGTTCTGTCCTCAGCCAGGCCTCTCTGCAGACAGCAATTCCCTCCCTTCCCACGTGATCCTGTCTTTCCATTCCTCCTTCTCCTCAGCCTGACAACATGCAGTGTCCTCACCCTGATTGGGAAACTGATAGACGCCGTGTGTGCCAGCAGGGAATGGCACATGCAGCAGATGTAAGCTGGAGCAGGATGGAATGGCTTTCTGCCCACAGCATTGGGCTTGCTTAATATATTTGAGAGCTTCTGCTCAGTAACAGATAATGTGTGGGTTGGGGAGGGGAAACACAGAGAGGAAAATTGGGATTTGCTCCAGAGAAGTTGGAAAGCACTGTGCTATGGGCTGAACAGCATAATGGCAGACAGGACAGATTGAGGATGGGGAGGATAAATATGTTTTGCAGAAGGCAATAGCTGCTTTCTCTTTTGCTCTGCTCTGCGATCCAACTGTTACAAATGCTACTGTTAGTAAAAACAACTGTGTCATTTCCAAGGAAAGGCAGCTACTCATTGGAACCTGTGGACAAGCCTTTATTGTTGCCTACAAACGTTTGTTTTCATTTAGAGAGATGAAGCTATCTGTGCTCTGAGTAAAGGGGAAAAGCATGTGGGGAGGACTTCAATGCACAGCTCACTTTTGGTCTGGGTGCTGGTGTTGAGTGACATCCTGACTTAAATCATATGATCTTCCATCTGACACTGGACAACTCTTATCAGTAGTTCCTGCCATAGGAATTTTGAGTTTCTAACAGTGTTAGGTGAAAACTTCAGATGGTTTGAAATGATGCTTCTAGGAGCCTCCCAAGGCTGTGGCTCCGAGGAGGATGACACTGTTGGATCACACCTGGAACCTTTCATGTCTTACTGTGTTTATAATCCTGGTTATGAAAAAACTCACTCTGTAGACAGGCTGCCCTTCTGTGCAGGTTTTCATGCATGTTTTGCTGAAGTTACTGGTTTTTTTAAAACAAGCTGATGGGTGAGGGCAGGGGTGCCCTGATAGGGGAACTGCTAGGTCAAGACACAGGCAAAGAATATGAGTGAAGGTCTGTGCTTGGGTGGAACAGTTCGTAGTCTTAATCTGTCATAACTCTCACCTCTTTTCCCACCTGCAGCATTATGCAGTTGCTCGGGGCATTTCCTTCCCCCAGTGGCCCTGCTTCTCCCTGCAGTTTGGTGAATGAAACCACCTTGATCAAGTACTCCCGTTTGCCCACCATAAACAAGCACAGCTTCCGCTACTTCGTCTTGGATAACAGTGTCATCCTGGCCATGCTGGAGCAGCCCCTAGGCAATGAGCAGAGTAAGTTCAGACTTCCCATTCCTTCTTTCTCTGGTTAAAACTCTCTGTATGGAGCTGCAAAACAGAGGTACTTCACTGAGTGTCTGTCTGACACTTCAGGAGTTGCCTGTTGGTGGGTGTGCATTGCCCTGGGTTCAGTGATGGGAATAACTTTAATGCCACTGATAGCCCTGTATGCACAAGCTCACACCTACTGTTCATGCAGCTGTCTAAGCCTTTCACCCAAGATAAGTGGGCAGCACATGGTTGATATCTCCTTTATGCTATGCACTTCAACACATGCTTGATGTCTCCTCCTGTTACTGCATATTTCTGTGGGTGCTTCCAGCTCAGGTGCTCTTAGTTGCTTGGAAGCTGTTAGAACTTTCCCATGTCCCATCCTGTTCTGCCAGTGACACCTCCTGTAAGGGAGATCTGTTGCAGGGTGTTGGCTTTCACAGCTGAATCTAACTCATTTCAGCCTCATAGACTTTGGCTAGCAAGAATTTATATTACAGAAACCTGGCATTAAGTCAAATGATGCTTGGAACTGAATTAACTGATCCCCCTGTAAGTCTTCAAGTGTCAGTGGCACTACCTGACAGAATATATGAGAATATGAAAATTCTGTTACAAGCTACCTCAGTTTAAGACTAATGTTAGATCTGCTCTTCTGCCACAGATACATTTTCCTGGTCTATGGATAGGATGGAGCTCAGATCCTAGTCTTGAAAATGGAGATTGCACAGAACTGCATGAACTGTATCAGAGAAGTTGTTATTTTGAGTTGTGGTCCAAAGTGCTCTGACCTCATTGAGAATCACAAAATTGATCTTGCAGGAAGGGCTGGTGCTGGGAGCCATTTCCAGACATCCACCCTCAGTCTGTGCTGGAGCAAGCATGCTCTTGGCTGGAATGGATTAGAGCGTGCTAGAATGGCTAAGCAATTCTCATCCTCACTCTGTCTCCGCTAAATGCATTACTGAGGAATCCTGTAAAGCTATTAGAATCGCAAATTAGATTATCTTTTCTTGCTGTGCATAACTTGCTTACAAATCCCCTTTGAGTTACAAGATTAATTTCAGTAATGCTCAAGTACGTCAGGTCACTCCTGAGGCAGATCACTGAAGTGAGAGGCTGTGGGGAGCTGCTTTGGGTGGTCTCTGCTGCAGCCTGTACTTCCTTGAAATGCTGGGGAAGGAATAGAGATCTGGTTACCTGATGGTGCCACTGAGTGGTTTATGTGCACAGAAGGTAAATGCAAACCTTCAAGAAGAAAAGCTATAGAAGTATGATGATCCCTCATCTAAGGTAATTGGTATCAGTGGCCTCTTAAGTCAGGAAGACTGAAATCCCTGCAGTTTTCAACCCCTTGTGCAAGAAGAAAGGCACCTCAGGACTCTGCAGTCTGACCTCCAGCTCTAAAAAAGGCCAGCACTGAATCTGGACCAGGAGAGTGCAACCTGACATTGTCTAAGTAGGGCTTGCAAACCTGTGAGGACAACTTCTCTGTGGCCTTGTGCCTTATGGTGAAAAACTTTCCATGATGTGGAGTTCCCCAGTCTTCATTTGACCACTGTCTCTTGTCCTTCCACTGTTCTTATTGCTGCTGTTTGTGAGGGACCTTTTCAGAAGATCATGGAAGCGTCATGGAACCTGTGTCTCTGTATGGTCATTGCCTCACCTAAACAGGCAGTGGCTGGACAATCTTCTTTGATTTCCTGGAGATAATTTGGAGAGAAAGAGTGATCTGCATGAATTTGAATGAAAGTTACCTTTAATGGTGAAACTGAGCTGGCAACTGCTGAACAGACCACAAAGTAGGTTAGTCCTTCCCTGCTGCAGAGGAGGATTGCCTGCACCTCACTGGGGATCCTCTTCAGGGTCAGGGAGGAGTTAGCCTGGAAAACAAAACCTTTGCCACCATGCCTGCATTGCTTGCTTGTTAAATTATCACACAGTGAACTGTTTGCAGTGTATGATGATGTGTTCTTAACCCA